CCATCAAGGTAAGTATGAGGTTTTCTTTTGTCCTCGTCCGACTCTTATACTTCCTCCCCCATCGCGCACGGACCATTAGTTTAGGGCAAGCTTTCCTGTATTGTCAATGCGAGGCTGGGACTAATAGCGAACCGAACCACGCATCACTGAGCGCATCGAAATGATTATCTGGTCCGGGTCAAGGCACAAAATCATATTTGAGACCCCGATGCTGCAAGTCCGAGTCGCCCATAACGCCGCCATGCATCCAAGACCGGAACCGCGGGTCACATTCTCTCTTTCTCGTCGACCACGATGTTGGCTTTCACTTCGCCCGGCGTACAGTCCTCTCTGGTCGTAAAATCTGCCGCCACGATCCGCCCTGGTGACCGTATTTCAGTCGGCCGCGAGGCTTCGCTCATTGTACCCCGACTGTATCTCGCCAATCTCTACACCGCGCAGGATCCGGAGCAGCTCGCGGCTCTTGGTGTGACCCATATCGTTTCCGTCGTCGAGGGCATCCCCAAGCTGCCCAAGTCCATGCCGCACCTGAAGACGCTGCATATACCCATCACAGACAGTCACGACGCGGATATCCTGCAGTACCTCAATCGAACGACGGCCTTCATCAAGGGTGCTCTCGCGGAGGATCCGAAAAATGTTGTCCTGGTGCGTCTCTCCGTCCTGCGCTTGCATCGCTCAGCTGACGCCGCCGGCGCACTGCCATCGCTTGCACGCTGTTGCGATAGGTGCATTGCCTAGTAGGCATGTCGCGATCTGCAACTGTCGTCTGCGCATATCTCACCGCGACGACATCGATGGTCCCGTCTGAGGCGATCGGCTTCGTCGCGACCAAACGCTGCATCGTCTCTCCCAACCCCGGCTTCCGGCAGCAGCTGGACGAGTACGCCGTTCGTTATCACCCGAAGCTGGAGCGTGCGCAGGGGGGGACGACAAAGGAGAGCGGAGGAATCGTCGAGAGGCTGCGCAGCTGGAATCGAAGAGCGACATGAGCTTGATGAATGTCTTATTGATACCTCTCCGTGATGGAGATACGTCTTCTACGTGTGAAGACTGCGGGATTGCCCTGCTTTGTATTTCTCTCTGTATCGTACACGATAGCATATACCTTACACCTGCTCTTGGATTGCACCATGCTCTTCTATTACACACATTAATGTATTGATGGGGCGATTAGCCGGCCGTGTCAATGCTTCGATGATAGCATCGTGTTCATGTGCGCCGTCTCATTACGCATACAGTGGCAGATGTCACTGAGGAGTTGGTTTCGGCTGCTGAGACTATGTCTGGGTCGAAATTGAGAAATGAAAATGTCAGGAGCAATGCAGATGCTTTTTACTCGGAAGGTCGAGTCGAGCCACCAGCCTGCCTCGAGCCTCAGGCACTACAAAGAACTCATCCTTTCCATTGGGAGGAAATGGACCCTAACAAGACTAGAGAAATTATACTTTTCGACCTATTGGGAGCCTTGATAAATGCGCCTTTCACATCTTTGAAAAGGCAAAAAGGCTACTTTCAACTATAGGAAAAGGTTAGGTTCCCACATAGTGTTATTTAAAGGCTTACCGCACAATTCCAATGCCTTTCGCGTGCTTTTGTATGGCATCAAAAGGATAATTTCTTTGTAGTAAGGCAGAAGTTCGTGTTTCGTACTGACTTGCCTTATTCAGCGTCAACCTATCCGACCGCGTCTTCAGCCACACCAGCTCTTGACCGGCTCTCTGTCCGCTGCCTCCATGGTGTCCAATCCTCCGGTCGCCGCCTCAGCTAAGGCTCTGCAAGATGATGTAGAACAATCACTCTCAATGACCGATATTCTCCTCGATCCGCTGAACCAGCTGCAAGCGCTTTCCCAGCAACTATTCCTCTCGCTCGGGCCCGCCCAAGCCAAGCCTCCGCCCACGCCGCCCATATCTGCATTCTTGTCCGTCGACGCCGCGCTCGCGTCGGCAGTGCAGCTCTCGCGCGCCCACCAGGTACGGCAGCGCAGAATCGAGCAGCTCAAGCGCGACGTGCTCGACCTGGACCGCCACTGGCGGCAGATCGTCCTCGAGCTCGACGACGGCCGCAAGGAGCTCGACGCGCTCGTGCGTGAGGGCACCGAGCGCATCAGCGCAATCGAGGACGCGAAAGCTGGTGCGTGCCACGCCCTCGCCATCTCATAGACCTCCACAGCTGACCGGGCCATTAGCGGCAATCCCATACCCCGAGCTGCTCGCATACGCACAGAGCCTCTCCGCGTTCACGTCTGCACCCCCTAACATGCCGGATCACACGCTCCCCGGGCAGCCGCCGCCGCCGCTCTTCTTCCCACCGTTCCCCAACGAAGAGAAGATGCGCCGCGGGCACATGAACGACGAGGCGCCCCTCGGCCTACTTGGCGAGACGCACTCGGTCGGAAAGCGTACGTCCTTTGCTCATTGCGCACATCCCGTGGGTAGAACAGAGCCAGCTGACATCCCCTGTATGTCCACACTGCTCAGCGCCGACCGTGCAGCCTCGGTCCGTCGAAATACCTGCGCATATAGCCGGCCCTGGTGCCAACCCGTACAGGCCCGACCTGCGTGCACCGCCGCCACAATTCTTCGACCTCGACTTGGATCTAAACCCCGACCTATGAGGCTATTTTGAGCCCTTCTGTTCTCAAAATGGATTCTGACAATCTCAGCAACGCATTTACCAATGCTAGGGTACGGTACGAGCGGGGCAGCCAATGCGTAGCTCTAATCTTTGCCCACTGCAGCCAGGGCTCCCCCTCGTATTGCGAGCGATGCCAGTCACATCTGATTGACGGTTTCGTCATAGCATGGATTCCTATGTGTTCATGTGGTGCTACACAGATGCAAGTACAACAGCGACAGCAGCGTGAAGGATATCTTGGGCACAATAATCTACATAGACCGGTAGATGGGATACGGGATGATGGGCTTGGGATTGTCAAGCTCGTAGAATCGCCTACACGAGTTCGTCAGCAATGCAACATATCGGAAGTCGAGTTGAAAGCATACTTGTATTGGTGAATGTCAAGCTGCGCGTCCCGACGACCGTAATTGTGATCAGCATGTGCGGCGGTAAGCGTGGGCGTGACATGACAACATACCAGTGACTTGAACACAACAAATGCGTGGGTCTCGTTGTGCGTGTCCACATTATGGCAGACACCGCATAGGTCCTTAGAGCAGTATCCGCAGCGGAACCACTCTCCGTTGATACGTGTCATGCAGCGGTCGCACAGAGCGATTCCGTGTTCCAGGGTTGCCAGGTATCCTGTACAACATGAATATATGAAGCATGTGAGGGCACGATGCGTGATGTCTTAGGATGTGTACGCACCCTTCGGATCGTCACGGTCGTATCTGCCGTCCAACGGGCCAGCCGGGTACTTATACCTACATGGAGACACGTGAGGCTACGACAACACACGAAATGCGCGGTGCACTCACAGCCTTCGAATCAGCGGTGTGTCGACGAGCAGCGGCCGATCGAGTGGCCGAGGGAAGTTGAAGAAGATGTGCATCGGGTCGTGCAGGACATACGAATGCTCTTCGCAATTCGAACACTACAATAACGCTCAGCGACTTGTAAAACACCGAGCAATACGCACCACTCACCAAGCTATAGGGCTTCGGCTTGGATGGGCACGACGCGCACTGATACCGCACTCCGACAATGTACTATCAACGGAGTCACGTCATCGCGAGCCGCTGGGGGACGCGAGCCGGCTTACCTGGCCGCATGCATCGCACCGGATACCGTGGTCGTCCGTATCCACAGCTACCGATCCTACGCCATTCAGTGTAGATGAACTGCTGTTGTGGGTCCCGGTACCCAGAACCGTACGGTCATACGCAGACAAGAGCGAATTGCGCCTGGGTCTCATCTTCTGTCCAGTAACAGCATCGCGACCCCACCAGACGCTCTTCGCACGACGGCTTGCTGATTGCAACTCGGCTGGTCCCAGGGGATATGGGATCTAAGCGTGTGCATCCGGTCACGACACAATTCGCGTGTAAGAAGCACTCGACCTACCTTGATCAAAATATGGGACGAGTCATGTCCCCCGTCGGCCGAATCGAGATTTCCAGGCAAGCCCGCGGACTCGCAGTTGGCGCAGATATCGACGGAATCACATATCGCACAATGGAATCGCGCGCCCACGATATCCTGCATACAACTGTGAAAGCGTTGAGTGGTACCCGCGCAGAAGGAGAACAGACTACGTACTGCGTGCATTTCACCCCAGGGTGTACTAGGGCTGTGAAGATTGTAATTATAAACGGTATGCGCGGCGTTTGACAACGAATACATACAGCGCTCGCCATCAGTCACAGGCATAGCAGGGGAAATGGGACTAGGGTCGGACCACGATCGCTGTATCCTATCTGGAACATCAAGGAAAGCATGGGAAGGATGCACCTCATGTACTTGACTGCGGCGAAGACTATGAGCGCCAACTCCCAAAGTGTATAAGTGCGCAGATGCGCAGCAGCACGTACTTATAGCACGCTTTACACAGGTTGAAATTCTCACACGACGCACACTTGTATCGGTGGTTCAGGATCATAGTTCCGCACGTCGAACACTTGCATATGCGATTTTCGTCTTGTTCTGCCAGGTTGGCGGACATCAAACCTGCACCTCAGCACTCAGATAAATCGCACACATACCGACGTCCTGCCACCCCTTGTGACCCCAGCTCTTCTCTACGTACGCGTGCCGTAGGTGTCCCTTCTGGCTGGGAGCGGCTCGCCGCCACTGCGACATTGCGCGCTGCGCATCCTCGGGGGAAGAAGGCCAGTGCATCAGGCTAGGTGACGAGCCCGGGTCCACGCTCATTTCCAGTGCATGAGTGACACCAGCCGATTCCAGGCACTGCCAGCACAGTTCATACCCTTGGTTTCCTTGGCCATATGGACTGTTCAGCGCAGTTACGGTGAGAGTCGAGCGCGAGGCGAGTGAGCCGTTCGAGCTTGACCCTTTCGTCGGGATGGCAGGGAGAGGTCGCTGCGCCACGTTCAAGGTCGAATCGGATAGAGATCGGAGGGGGATGTATGGATCAGAGACAACCGACCACGACGAGGGTGACGATGATATTGTGTGAGTCGGGCTATGCGAAGCCCCATTGGTATGCTCCATGTCGATCGCCCTGTCCTTCCCCTTGCCGTAGTTGAGTTCGCTGAGATCCTTTTCCGAGAGCGACGGAGGCTTTATCTCTCCACAGGTCGAACACACGTATCGGATCGTATCGAGAATAACACCACAGTTCGAACACGATGGTGGGCTCTCTGGGGGCGTAAGGGGAATGGCAGGAAGGAATTGGAGGACTTCAGGTGGGACATCGGGGTGTATGAATTCAGGCAACAAAACAGATTCGCTCATTGCACGGGAGAAGAAGGTCGAGCTGGACGTAGAGGAACGCTTAATATCACCTCCAGATATTGTATGCATGCCCTGGAAATCATATTCATTGACCTCCATAGATGTTGGTCTGCTAAGAGCAGGATTCGCCTGGGTGCTTGCGTGATAGATGTCGGAGGTGTCTTCGTAGCCAGAGTCAGGCGCACTTTGAGACGCTGCGTAAGAGCTTCCCGCAGTATATGCGTAGTAGAATTTCCCACTGGAATCCTGCTGTAACGCCAGCTCTCCGCTCAAGTCCGACTCAGTCTCAACTGGAGAACTGGTCGACGGGGCGTATGCTTTCTCCGATTTGGGGGAAGGATCTCCAAGCATGGATTTCATGGTACGAGCGTTCTGATCACGGAGCCATGCAGCCCCTCGTTCAGAATGGAGAGTGGATGTGCCGAAGCTGGAGCTAGAATCTTCCTCCAATCGGAGACGGTCGAACACAGAGGAGGGACCCAATGATTGATCATCTGAAAATGGATTGATCCCGGACAACGAAGATTCTTGGGCAGACGATGGTGTGGATTTCAGCACGTCCGAAACCGATGGGGGAACAGTAGACATTTCTACTTCCCAAGGACTCTCTAGGATTGAAGGTTCCGGAGACCGTCGCAGAAGAGGCTCTCTACTGGGAGCAGAAACGATCGTCTTGGGTCCGCGCGCACGATAGAGATCATATTTTGAACCCATGTCCTTGGAACTGACCGTGATGGAATCGTCCTCGACTTCGGCGATGGATGGGGCGCCTAATGATAGCGCAACGTCGCTTCCATTCCGATTCTGATATTCATCCAAGCTCACTAGAGAGGACGTATCAGAGAGGCTTGGCCCGTCGTATTCCACACTAATTCGAACACGCAGTGTGATTTTGCCTTTCAATAGGCTGCGACCTGAAAGAATCGAGGAGGAGGAGGAAATCGGGGGATCGTCATGTACAGAGTAGACATAGCGGATCGCTTCCGTAAGGTCTGAATCGGTCGTGATGTCGGTGACCTCCCCATCGTCGTCTGTATATGTGATAGCAAAGGCCGTTCCAGAGAGGGAGAAAGACTCTTCTACCTGCACCAGCATGCGTTGAGCCGCTCAAAGCGCAGAAAACATATAGAATGCATACCCGTCGTCTGAGAAGTTCATACGAGCATGTCCGAGTCGACTTGAAGGAGATCTTGCGTTCCGCCTCATCATATGAGCATTTGACGACCAAGGCCTTGTCCGGCCTGGGTTCGGAACCATTGTAGTCAGATGCACCGTAGTCAGAATATGACATGCGGCTCGGTCCCTGGCACGCTGCGTGTTCCATCGGACTGCGCATCAGCGTGGTGCCCGTCGCTGCGCATACACCCGGCATGGCCATTTATGAACTCACCTTGATATTTAAAGCGGTAAAGAGAGCGTTACCGAGGACTCCTCCAGTTAATTTACGTTGGAATCGCAGCGCTGGTCAATGGTCGGCGACCCGCTGAGCTTGATGTAGGAGTGGACCGGTGTGGATATAGGTAAATTTGAGCAAAACTAGAGGGATATTTTACAAGCCCTCGTGTGGGTGTCTGCTTGATTCACCTACAGGGAGGGTGAGGTCACAATGTTCGGGTGCAAGGCTTGAGCTTTGCCCAAGGACATGAGCGCTCCTGTGCGTTTGACGCCCGAGGACAAGTAACCCGATCACGTGGAAATGTGTCTCCGCCGATCGCAGTGGCATCGAACTGATTTATCCGCGCCGTCAGACACAAGCTCACACAGCACTTGTTCAATTTGACCGACACCTGCTTGCGCGGATGCGGTGAGTATTTTATGTCTTAGTTTTTGCTGTGTGCCCATCTTTTCGCCCTTTAGCAACCTTCAGCAACATGTTTCATGGTTCGAAAGCACGAATGGCCATGTCCAAGACATAGAGGATGCCGAGCAGTACGAGCTCGCGGAGAACGAATTCGACAGTACACGGACCACATCATCGAGAAAACGGGGTATCTATCAAGAGGGAGACACCATCGACTGGCACCGCGAAGAAGCTGTCGAACGGGAGAGGAAGCGGTTGCTCGCCGCTCAGCGAGGCTACCGCGGCCTTCTGGCCCTCATCGCAGACTCCAGTAGTATGTGGCTAGTCACTATTTTGACCGGCATTGGAATAGGAACTGCCGGCGCCTGTTTAGATGTGCTTGTCCGTTGGTACGCAATACACAATGCATCCTATTCTACTCTTGCCCTAAGAATTGCTGGATTCGTAGGCTGGGGGATCTCAGAGAAGGACGATGCACGTATGGATTCTTCTACAATCAGGTTACATGCTGCAGCGGCGTAGACCGTACGCCTTTGAGACTTCCTCCTCATTTCAGAATATTCATTTAATTCCCGCTCGACAGCCGGCGAGGTCTGCAGGGAATGGCAGTCCTGGAGTGAATATTTCCATATCAGGACCATTTTCACACAATCTTTGTTGCAGTCTTTCGTATACGCTACCCTAGCCGTAAGCGTCTTCGCGCTGCCCTAGTTGGAGCCTCGCATGAGTTGTAATTATTGTTTTACAGGTCGCATTTGCCGGAAGTGCAGCTGTGCTAGTCAAAACATATGCACCATAGTGAGCATCGCAATACCTGGTGATATAGTCCCTTCTCACTAAGCAAGGTGCATAGTGCATTCCATACAGGAAGTGAGTGGCTCAACGTCTATCCGCTTGTTTCGTACACTCAAGTCAATTACTACAACAGTTCCGGAGATTAAGGCTGTAAGTCTTTGATCACTCGCATTGTTCCATTTCATATGACAAGTCGTGTAGATTTTGAATGGCTATGTTCTCGACGCCTTCCTCAGCCCATGGACGCTACTCATCAAAGCTCTGGGTCTAGCATTAGCCGTTGCCTCTGGCCTCTCCCTCGGGAAAGAGGTGCACTCTTCCAAAACCTTCAGTCAAGTTCTACCTATGTTTATTAATTCTCCAACAGGGGCCGCTTGTTCATGTCTCATGCTGCATGGCAGACCTCATTTCAAAGATGTTCAAGGAGGTGCACGGTAATGAAGGCGAGTACCTGAAGCTGCGTACTAGGTGCTGCGAGCGCACATGCTCACATTCTTCTGTGTAGCGCGAAAACGCAGAGTGCTCACGGGCGCAGCGGTAGCCGGTGTCTCCGTTGCGTTCGGCAGTCCATTGGGTGGAGTGCTTTTTGGGCTCGAGGAATTAGATACTTTCTCCAGCGGTCCAAACGTCATGTGGCGCGGGTTTGTCACGTCAGTGATTGCTGCCATGGCTCTCCAATACATCGACCCCTTTGGCACATCCAAACTCGTTCTCTTCCAGGTCAACATTACTGAAGCTACGACAGTTTGGAGACGTTTTGAGTTGGTGGGTGTGTGATCAAACACTCATTCGTCCGTGCTGAAATGGTTCTAGATACCGTGGCTGATCCTCGCCGTACTTGGGGTAAGTCAATTTGTTCCTATGCTCTTTGTCCTCTCATGTTCGGCCAAACGTTTCTTGTGCAGGGCGTTTTGGGCGCGTTTCTGATCCGCTTGAATGCTGCAGCCGCAGTGTACAGGCGAAATAGCACGGTCCATAATTGGCCAACCTTAGAAGTCATTAGCTGTACTGCAATCACTGCGGCTGTCAGCTATCCCGTAAGTTGTATGGTGTTCGGACCTTCTATTTGGCCTCATGGAAATAGGTGGTTTTCCTCAGGGCGCAAACGTCGGAGCTCGTAGTCAATCTATTTCAAGAGTGTGACCCAAGCAAAGGTGACTTTCATGGGCTCTGCAAGTGAGTGTGGATGTCTGTACCAATTCCATCCAAACGGTGCCACCACCAGATCTTATAGTCCCACAGCGATATGGGCCAATGTCTTCCTGCTCGTCCTCACCGCCGTAACTAAAATCGCCCTCACTGCGTGGACGTTCGGGATGATGGTACGTCCACCCCCTTTTAAAACCTTGCATCATAAACTCATTATACTCCTCTTCCTAGATTCCCGCTGGTATCTTCCTCCCTACTATTGCGATTGGTGCGAGCTTCGGCCGAGCAATGGGACTGATAACGTGGGCCTCATCTTTCAGACTTAGTGGACGCAGTTAACTGACAAGATGTTGTCTGCGCAGGGAGGGACTATATCGTGCATATCCGACTGCGTGGATATTCTCATCTTGTCCACCTGAACCGACCGCGAAGTGTATTTCCCCCGGCTTCTACGCAGTAATAGGAGCCGCGTCTATGCTGGGTGGTGTCACTCGGATGACTGGTTGGTACCCATTCTCGTGTCCCAGATTAGTCCGGCCTGATCCCCCTATAGTTTCCTTAGTTGTAATTCTGTTTGAGGTTTGCTCATCTGTTTTTCGTAAGGCGCCACTGCTCATCGTTTCTCAAGCTCACGGGCGCGCTCTCGCACGTCCTACCCATCATGATCGCCGTCATGGTCTCCAAATGGGTGGGCGACTACTTCGGGAAGGAGGGTATATATTCGCTCTGGATCGCCATGCGCGAGTACCCATGGCTGCCTCCCGCAGAGTACCGCGACAAGGGAGAGACAGCCGCCGATGTAATGAAGCCCGCGGCGAATCTTGTCGTTATTAATGAGAATCGAGACGGATGTACGCTTCAGGACATCAACCAGATCGCGAATACGTATCGATTCCATGGATTCCCTGTTGTTTGTGGTGGTCAGCTCATTGGCTACGTCACTCGAGATAGGTTGAAAACCACGCTGGGTCAGTGCGTTCGTGTGCTCTTTTTGCGCCAGGTTTAACTAATTTATGGGAGCAGAATCTTTGTCAGAGGACGACGCGAGAACAGGTGCTATGCGCAAATGCACGTTCGCACCTCACCCTGCCAATGGCAATATGGAGTTGATCAATCTGTCGCCGCTCCTTGAGGAAGCTGCGTTGCAGCTGCGTGAGGAGATGCCGCTCGAGGTGGTTGTCAGCATGTTCCAGAAACTTGTGAGCACCGTCTTGCGTCTTTCACCATACATGACTGACCATGTCCACTGTAGAATCTGCGGCATATCCTATTCTCACACGAAGGTCGGTTGACAGGGATGTTGACGAAGACCGATATTGTACGATTGTTCACCGCACAATTCCCGTACACCGCTGCCCTTTCTGAACCGCGATGGTAACTATTGACCATATACCCGTAACTTATTCTACCCACTGTATGTCACGCGGATCGTAATAATATTACATGATGAGATTTTTTGAAGCAACAGCACTCAGCCTCTATTCTCACCCGTCGAATAACTTGTTACTTGAAAATACTCAAGATTTCGGTACCTGTGCTCTGAGTATGTACAGATAGTAATGGAACGCTTCCCCTAATGTGCGAACTTCCAGGGTCGAACCTGGCCGCGTAAGATACCTGCGACGAAAGTGAGGTTGCCCGAAGGTCAAGTAAATGAAGATACCTCCTGGCTTGAGTACACTATACGATGCACATGGTGACTTTTTGACTCAAATCGGGAAGAGATATGCCTACCGTATGACCTCGTCCACCTCGCGGTTGCAATTTTCGATAATGTTAGATGGGGGGTCCTATACAGCGGTGCTCTATGAGCGGACGACGCAACCAATCCGCAGAGAATCCATACCCAGACGTCACCATTAGCCGTCATCATGGCATCCATAGTGCCTTTATCGATCGCAACATCGAACGTGTCTGCGTCGAAGGTCAGACTCCGGATGTCCATCTCGTGCCCTAGTTTAGTTGGCAACACTGTCCGTCATCGTCTGCGCGATACACTCACACTCCATCTCCGGTCGAGTGTGTTCGTGTAGGCGGCGCATATTGTTGATGAGAACGCCAGAATACTTGTAAACGACGTGAGAAACAAATATATTGGCAGATGCATCGCAGCTTACATCGGTATTGACAACATGCCTATAACCGTCGTCGTACATCTACTCACACTGAATGCACTATACATGGAACATGGAAACACGATCCACCTACCTCCTCTGACAGCTTCGAATTGCCGCACCCCAGCATCACGATCCTCGCATCCCTGTCCGGGATGAGCTCCCGCAAAATGTCAGCTACGTCCTCGTAGGACTTGAACCAGTCGAAGGAAGCATCAGGCGGCTCCCTGACATGCCAAAGGGACAAAGCGACGGGCCAGAACGCAGCGATCAGTCAGACACCATGACCGGGTGAGAATAAGCAGAAACTCACGCACTGGCTGTACCTCTGGTCCCTGCCGTCGACAGCGATTAGCATGCAATGAGAGTCGCTCTGTTCTTGGAGTAGCTCACCAGTATTGTTTCGTGCCGTACTCTTCGTTTTTCTGGGGCAGGACACTGGCCATGGCTAGATGAGAGATCCTCCGAGAACAGACTGAGACGCGGCGGCGACGCGCAAGCCATAGGCGATCACATGGCCACGGCCCGCCTAAGCGCTCTCGGCTCTCGGATTCGGACGAGTTTCGGGACTTATAATGCGGGGTAATAAGCACCCAACGCACGGCAACGCATCAACCAGCCTAGGGCCTCCTTTCCACACATCTACCTTCTCAACTTACTCCGTGCGCTTTACAACATGGTATGTGCTGATCGTGATATTGACGTGACCACTTGCATATTGATGCCTCCCCTAGTCTGCTTACCCTGCGTACGTGATGGGCGGTCTCTGCATTGTTGGAGGCATTACTGGTTTCGTGAAGACACGCAGCATTCCCTCTTTGGTCGCGGGCGTCGGGTATGTTCAATAGTCTCCACTATCCTGAGCGATCAGGCAAGTATTGATAAACCTGGCACAGTGTGGGCGCACTGTATCTCTACAGTGCAGACAGCATACGGAAGGGAACTCCTAACGGTCTCGAGACTGCGCTTGGTGAGCCTCGTCGCAGTGCTCCCTTGCCATTGCCTTATCACGGTCATGCTTAGGTGCCTCTGCTATCCTGTTGCTATCATCACTGCCTCGAGTTGCCAAGGGCCCGGTGCCCGCCGTCCTCACAGCGACTTCGTCAGCTGCATTATTTTACTATGGAAAGAAAGTATACGGGCTCCATCAATGATACCTCCACACACCCGGATGCTTGTATAACACTGTATACTTGTGCTTTCGCATCCTGTACCCCCACTCTATTGTCTGAACGCTGTCGTCATTCCTCATTTGACCCAATCGCGCTGCGTACTACCAACAAGTTCGGACAAGGCATGAAACTCATGAAACTCACTCTCGCTTGCAGGCCGAAGTCTAGTTAGAAAAGGAATTTCACGTTTTGGTACAGGTCCAGTATAGGATTCTCTCCACTCCTGAGCCGCGTCTTGCCCAAATCCGCATACGTCGACAGGAATTCTGCATGTGTGAACACGCTTGATTTGCGCTCACCCACTGGGATTCCGCTTGCGGATGCCACGCCATCCGTCGGCGGTCTCCTGTTTTTTGGGTGGTACGATGAGAAAAAGTCGCTCCCAACTGACAAAGACGATGCGCTAGTCGACAGTGGTGACCGGGGCAGCGCCGTCTCTGCAGCAGATAGCGGGAGTGGCTGAGATAGGATATGTTCGTACATATCGCGCAGCCGGTCGAAGTTGGTTGGGAAGAAGATATCAAAATACCCCTGCTTCACGAGGAGCGTCGTGCATGGTACGGTTTCGTTCCGGTAGCGTGTTTGCACGACTGGCGCGGTCACACCTTCAATGGTGTCAGGCAATGAGGAGAAGTCCGACAGCAATAGCCTATGGCGCGGGAAGTGCCGCCTTAAGGTGCGCAGGAGGCTGAGCAGCCGTGTGGGTATGTATTCCGGCGCAGACAAGTTTGGTGCGAAAGGGAGATTGGTGTAAAATGTCCGTAGCGTAGGCGAGAGCTCCAGTAGACGCGGCACAGGTGGAGGATGCATGAGCCTACGGCGCAGCGCCAAGAACGACGAGATGAGCGGGTCCGTTACCCGAGTGTAATAGGTACTGAAGTCACCATGGCCGTCAATCGTGACGATGCCTTGATATGGCTCAAGCGTACGGAGGTCGTAGCGAATCATGTCGTGCGCAAAGTTGTCCTAAAGAGAAATTTCTGGCAGGAGCGAGGGACCACATGAACGGATGACTCACAATGACTTCCATGGCAATGAAGAAACATGGCTGTGGCTCACGTTTATCCCAATGAAAAACGCTCTGATGCATCACCTTAACACATGGATGCTTGGCGGAAAGCTTCTCCCTCTGGAGCCTGGCAAGGTTCCCGCTGATTTCAATGATGTTGTATCTCGTCCTGTCGTACACCTCCGGGTACTGCTCCTGGATGTAGTCCAGGATGTCCAACGCGAGCGTCCCATTCCCTGCGCCGATCTCGTATATCACGAAATCTTCGTAGGGAAAGTATTTGAGGAGATACTCAGACACGAGACATTGTCCAATTGCGCGACCATACCATGGCTAGACTACTGTTAAATCAGCGTTTTCTTTCAACATCCAAATGCCCACCTGGAACAGCTCCGTGGGCGTATGCCAGATCTGCCTGCCCGGACCATCGCCGTCTGGACCATACTCTGCGTATCGCCTCGCCACCTCTTCCTGAAACTGGACTGTATTACGTAGAGAGCGAAAGTCGATGTGGTCTCTTGCAGTGAAGATGTCGGCCTGCTTTGGGAAGTAGCCATAGTGCGGGTTGTATAGCGAATCCTCTATGAAATCGCGCACGAGCATCTTGACGCGGCGCGGAGGCTCGCGGTGTGCCTCGAGATCGTTCGCAGTGACCCGCTTGTAATTGACGTGCTCGGCGTCGGGGACATCCTGGAACGAGATGCGGTTGTAGTTGATCTTGTCGGGGGACTTGCGTGCGTTGCGGATGCGGGCAGTGGAGGAGAAGGCTGCGGAGAGGGCCGCTCTGGAGTGATACTTGAACACGGGTACGCGGGTGCTGGCGGCGGCGAGGGAGATCATGTACCGTGGGCTCTCTTTGGGGGGCGCGTCCAGTGGGAGGACAGCAGCAGTGAGCGAGCACCGGGTTGAATCGAGCACGTGCGGACGGATCGACGAGCCAAGGTTTCCGAGTTCGGGCTCGGCCATTTCTCTTCGCTCTCTTTTACCATTCCTCCCGAGTCCTGACTAGCCCAGTGGGCAGCGGAGCATCCGTGCACTGTACTTGTAATATTCCGCCTTTGCTGGTTATGGAATCCCTGGATCGTCCGATACGCACTTGGATAGCATCCGAACGAGAGGAAGAGGTTATTGCAGTCGTCTCGGGTACGTCTCACAGGTCGTAGGCAGCTAATGACTGCTCTGATCGTGAATTCAGAAATCAGCAGTGGAAATGCCACACTGCTTGATGTTGTTAAATCGCTTGGAAAGTACCTCACCGCGGAAGAAGATGAATTGCGGACCAAAGGTGAGCGGTAACTATCGCTTCAGAGAATTGCTGTTCACATACAACCACCTTGCTTTCCTCTCCTCGCAGGAGTTGATTTTCTGTCTCTTGTCCTCTCAAAATGTCCCGCAGAAAAGATGAATCGGCAGTCGGGTGCGCACCTCTCCGGCTGATGCAAGTGAGATTTTCATTTTGTACTTACTACCCGGCTGGTTCAAGTGCGCGTCCTAGTAGCATTCTACTGCGGGAAGCTCGAAGATACAGAGACTATTGTACCCGCGCTGAAGGGTTTGGTCTCCCTTACTGCCATGCCTGATTTGACATCGATCGACGCCGTGGAGGTCATGAAGGCGTAAGAATATTTACATATGCTAGATGAATGCGCTGACAGTACACTCAGGTTGATCAACCACGTTCGGATGAAGGTCTTAATTCAATCCCAACGGTTTACGGTTTATAAGATTGTCGATACGCTGATCGCCAACCAACGTGATGGTATGTCGTCATGGATGGTTTTGCAAGGCTCAACACTCACACCGCAGAATTAGCTCTGAAGGGAATGGGTAAAGAGTTTCTGTCCGGTTATATCTCTCTCGCCGAAGGAGAGAAGGATCCTCGCAATCTCCTCATATCTTTCGCCATCGATCGCGTCTTATTACTTGAATTCGATGTTGCTGCCCATGTCGAGGTCCGCTGCGATTCCCCTCAACTTTCAACATCTCTAACCGTAGTTTAGGATTTATTCAACATCACATTTTGTTATTTCCCTATCACATTCAGGCCTCCGCCCGACGACCCATATGGCATTACGACTGATGACCTCAAGAATGCACTCAGGTGAGCATTCTATCTGGATAGAGACACCACCTCTTGGTATGGCTGACAACGCGGCGCAGTGCCTGTCTTCACGCGACACCCCTTTTTGGACCATTGGCTATCCCTCTTTTCCTTGAAAAGCTCACAGCGGGAACTCCCATCACGAAGGTGAGCAAAGTCATTTTGCTCATATCTTCGAGGCCGCAGGTATATGTCCTTTCAGAGGGATACGCTCAAGGCACTCGATGTCTCCCTTCCGGTATATGGGGCAAGTGTTGCGCGAAATCATGCCAGGAAGTTGTGGAACTCCCTGAAGCTTGAGGTAGGTCCAAACGGAGAGTCTGAGTACAGAAATTAAGGAATTACAGATCTTCCAACCAACAGACATCATCACAGAGGAAGCCGCTCTCCATACCACACAAGTATTGATCCGGACTATCTATTCTGCCGACGATAGCGAAAGCCCTTCTGACAAGGAGGAAGTTCACGGTCTCGCGAAAGAGGCTTGCGACGAATGTATCGAGGTCCTGCGTGAGCCCGAGAAGAGCCAGGCCAAGCCTGCAATTAAAGTCCTTTGCGCATTCATGTCAACCACTCGTTCGTATCATATCACCATCATTTACCAACGCCAAGGTCTAATATAGTACCATCTATATAGCATCTGTTGCTAAGCACACCCTGTCGCGTACAACGCCGCACCTTGTGAAGCTTTTCCTCGATCCGGATGAAATGACCAACAGAGGCCCTATCTTGAGACTGCTGGCGGACTTTATAGTCGCTTCCCGAGATTCAATGTCGAAAGACTCGGAAGTATTACCTGCAGAGGATGATGTTCCACTACTTTCTTACAAGGACGAAGTACTTGGCATTCTGACGGTTGGGTTAAAGACGCCATCATCTGCGCAGCCAGCTCTGGATGGTCTGAAAGGGATGGTGACAACGAGGGGTCTTCTCACAGACGAGGAGATAGGCTTTGTGGTCCATAATGTTAACGAGCTGCTGCAGAAGGAAGGAGAAGAGAGTGACGAAGTCAGGTAGGTCACTTTCATTCCATCCTCTACGCATACCACTTAGCTCCCTGAAAATAGTGACTACGCTTTGAACTTGTTGACGGTCATCTCTGATTTCGCTTCCAACCATGTCTCACAAACCACACTTCCTCTTCTCTTCAGCTCATTGCCTGACCGTGCACCCCCGCGCGACGCCCAGCCAGAGAGACTGAAGTACTGGCGCACCCTGGCGTCGCTCACTCGCCTGTGCAAGCAACCAGATCTCTTTGAGACGCTCGTAGTGCGATTGTTGACAAAGCTAGACCTTGTCTGCGTCCCCCCTACGACAGCAGTGAACGAGCTGGAGTCAGACACAGAACCCAGCGCAGCCTACGCGCATTCTCTCCTCCGGACGATCTCGGACGTACTGGCGGCCAAAGTCGATGCAGGACACAGCGACGTCATGAAATTTATTGATCGCCTCGTTCCGCGATTGTATAACCTTTTCATTTACTCTGCGCTCATGTCGGATAGCACCTGTATGGTGGCGACCGACCCTCGTCTAATATCCGTCACTGCACATATTATTACTCTGGTGGTGCAGACATTGACCGCTCAGTAAGTGCCCTTATGTCGATATGGAACCCACATTGACGGGAGTATATCAGACGTCAGGAAGCGTTTGTCGCAGTGCTTTTTTCTGGGTACTTACAGGGGGACGTTCATCAGCTAGCTGATGGGTACCAGAAGATACCAACGGACAAGAAATTTGAACCACTAGCGGTACGTAATGATTTTGCATGCACCCTTCCGACTGTTCATAATACGCCACATAGCCTGATGCGCCAGGGCTACATAAAAACCTCCTTGCTCTGCTCTCGGCGGCGGTAGTTGCTTTGTACAAAGAAGTATATAGTCTTCGATTTTGCATATCATGTTTGACTTCATCACGGCTATGTAGGTCCCACTCCCTTGTCCCGATGAGACAACCTTTCTCGATACGCTCCTGCAATGGTCATGCCTCTGCACAGACAATGTCTTGCAGAGAGATGCCATCGCTCACACCATTTCCTCAGTCGTCAACAAGAGGGCTGGCGGTAAGTATTGTGGCTACATCAGATCTTGTCGACGTTCTGAGTTATGTTGAAGGCCTATCGTCTCTTCTTTCGGAGAAAGCGGATAGGTTCTGGACAACACAGGTCGCCGACCCAAGCGTACCCTCGGAGAAACGACGCCATGCTCTTTGTATTTGGATATGGGTAGGTGACCCACACCGCTCCTCCTCAGCTGTACTGACGATATACACAAGATGACGAAAGCTTTGTTGGTACGGGGCGATGCAGCAGCGACAAACTACGTCAATCGCCTGTTTGAGTTGTTTGACGATGCCGAGATCAGCTGGGACGCTGCGCGAGGTGTCGGAAGTGCTATTGGTACTGACAAGGTTTTGACCAAAAGGAACCACGCTGTCATCAAGGTCACCAGCGTTCTAATCATGCCATATCATATCAGGGCTGACACAGACATGTTCATAGATTTTGTATGCCCAGCGATATTGTGGCTCTGTGCTACCGCGGATAGTCGAAGGCGCAACCTCGTCCACAGGTACAGTACACTGAGATCATGGTTGGTGTTTTTGTTTTTGCTGAACGTTGCCCTAGATTCAAGACAGCAAACTGCGCACCTCGTAGCTTTGACGTCTCTCATCAAGTCGGTTCCCAAATCAATATATTCGCACCAATTGCCCACGGCATGTATCCTTCTCTACCGCTGCAAATATCAGTAGTAATTAATACATGTCTTCTAGCTTCTGCCGCTACTTCTCCGCGGGTTGGATCTCCCAGACACCGAGATTCGTGCAGCAATCATGGATACACTTTTCACTGCTGCCCAGTCAGGCTCAAAAGAGAATAATGTTGTATCTGAACATGCGTCCACCCTCGTGTCGACGATGCTCAAGAATTGTATGGTGCAGGAGACGCCTTCCATGGTACGCATCTTTCTCAGTGTGTATTTATTGCGTATACTTGATTGCATAACGACTCGTGTACAGCGTGTCCGTACTGCAGCGTTACGTTTCCTTGCGATACTCCCAAATACCGTGCGCTACGATGTCCTACATCCGTACAAAGCGACGGTCATCAGAGAGCTAGTAAAGGTGCTCGATGATCCAAAGAGGGCTGTGCGGCAGGAAGCTGTCGAGGCGCGGTATGTGAATTTTTGCCTCAAAAACGTTGCAATATGCTTACGTTTGATATATAGGACAAATTGGTGAGCGGGCTTGGTGTATCCTCTTGCTCTAACCCGCATCTAATGAATCCGCAGGTTCAAATTCACAGGCTGACGTCGAACACCACCCAAAAACGAAATTGATGTAAGATTTGGAGCGGCATGCTGTAGATGTACAAACACACGATGTATGAGCGCGATAGAGCCCAACACAAAATTATCGACTATCATAGATAAAAGCTCCAACGAGAAAGGTACGTTTTCGGTGAAGGCAAGTGCACACGATGGAAATGTGCATTGATTCGCGTACAAGTTAGAGCAGTGATAGATCTCGTCTTATTAAAGTTGGGATAAGGTTTGCGCCACCGATTGTCCCGGCGAGCGGGATGTATGACGGAATCAGTACTCGTTCTCTTACCAGACCTCATTTAAGAAAATATCTGAGATCCTATCGCAGTTGATTCATTTGAGTGAGAGTACACTACACGACGCAAAAGCAGAGATACAGCCTTGTTATACACGTATTCGGATGGTAATCATTGATGGAACCCGCACACTTTCTGTGGTAAATAAACTGCAGCCATGAAGTCGCTGTGAGGACGTCGAGCACCAGGATCTTGGCAACTCGAAGCAAGGATAAGAGCAGTGGGATAGCAGAAGCACCTGAACACGACCGTCATGAGTATGAAGTGAATGCGAGTGGTATGGTAGCGAGGCTCACCTCGACAATGCACCAGCTCGGCCCACACCTTTCCTGGCCAGTCAAAGCAGCAGGGATCATTGGACATATATACCCGATTGACGCGACCATATTCAAATTTGTAAATGCATGAGTTGAGGACGAGTCTCGGGCACCTTGGGCGGTAAGCTCTTTGACTCGGCAGGCGCCTTCAACGGAGTAACAAGCGACTCCTTGCCTCGGCGAGTTGCAAATATTGTCCTTTGAGCAATAATATCGTCACGCTGAAGAGCTCCAAAGTAAAATTACAACATAAATCCGAGAGAACCTCGAAATATATTCGACATTGAAAAGCTATCGCGAATGGTACAAACTGGACCGAAATTTCCCTAGACTATGCCTCCTGCTACAAAAGATGCCGTACGAGTAAGAACACATCGACTCCCAGAGGTGATCATTGCGTACAACAATTGCGCTAGTAAGTCTTCTTCACGGCGCCATTGGGGGGCGTGTACTTTGAGAAGCCGGTCGGAGATTTGTAGTAAGTGGAGCCATCGGTGTTCTTGTAATAGTAGCCTCCGTCCCTGTTAGATAGAATGGGCTGAACGTGTTACGCCTAAATAGGACCTGACATGGGCTTACTGGTTACTGTAGTGGTACCCACGGTTGCCGTTGTCATCGGAGCGATTGCACCAGTGATTTCCCTTAGCATTGATCAGGGTGAGTGTAGACACATACGAACACAAATGACACACCCGGTTGTTCGTGCCAGATGCGGTGACCTTTGTGTCAGACATTGGAGACGAATGCTAAAGCAGCAATGAGCGAGAAAACAGGTGTATCTCTTCTCGACACAGACGTAATGAGAATAAAGACGTAGATATCTGTTGTAAGACGGCGATGAGCCGTTGAAGTTGAGCTCAGGCGAGTCTCATGTAGCTCATTTGTGTACTATTGTGTACGCGTCGCGTCCAGAATTACATACACGTGACCGCGACACCTGAAGGAGTACTCGGAACTCGGCATTGGGCAGCGATTGTGAACGGGAGCATCCGCAAGAAGCGTATCATTCGTACCCCCATCATCGAATGCGCATCTTCTAGCAATCCAGACAAACGCTCAAACTCGCAGAACCCTACCCTCATTCGTAAATCACCGACAATTGTACCACTTTCCAATAATACTATACATGGCTCATCTCCGTGGAAGACATCAATCTCATCACAACTTCATGGCACTCGAAGGGGAAATTGCCAGTCACAGGAGGGCATCAGCAGCGTCGAGCCTACAAAACGCCCCCGACGCATCCGTTTGCCAAGGATCTGATGCATTCTACTTCTTCCCGGACGTGTCCCCATTGGAGCTAGAGTAACTAGCATAGCCGTCGCCACTGTTGTAGTAGGTCGAGCCGTCTGCATTGCTATAGTAGTAGCTCCCATCTCTGAGACCCGGTAAGTGAGACCAGCACTACGTCCTCCATCGACTGCTTCACTCACTGGTTTGAGTAGTGGTACGCGCTGCTACCGTCGTCCATGTCGCGATGGCAGTAGTGGTTTCCCTGTCCGAGTTGTGCCACAGTGAATAGGAGCTGCGCAGAGCAGCAGTCGGTGGGAATCTACCTGGTCGTTGGTACCCGTGCTCGTGACAGTGTAGTTGTTGCCGGGCATTGTACAGGAGGACGTATACAGGGGCGGTGGTTGGTTGGGGTTGAGATGGGTCTGTTAGGTTCAAGAACTCGAGCTGGTCTTTATAACAGTCTGGCAGGGGCCGGCCGGTGGTCTAAGTTCAGAGCAGGACCCCGTAAAGCTGATTGACCAATCCGTGTATCATTCCCCCCAGGCCAGCACCATCAGGCTCTCGATAATGCTCTCCACCACAACATCCCTGCGTGAATTCTACAAGGTCCATGAAGAAGATGAAATACAGCCTTTATCGCCCAATGGTGGCATCCCGAAATTCGTCAACTTCGGTCCTGGAGACCGCGGAGTGGGCATGCCGCCAGTGTTCTTCCAAGGTGCGCACATACGTACTAGTGCGCCGCATTGCATAGTTACTTGATAAATCTCGCCTCAGATCCGAAGCCCAAACCAGGTGTAAAGGGACAGATTCATGCGTGGGGGATCTATCCCGTACATCTCCACCGTGTTTCCGCCTCGCCACTGTGTTCTTATTCCTCGTTTGAATAGCAAAATGAAGAGAATAATGCCCCGGAATGTATGTTCTCATGTGACTCTCTTACATTCTGCGGCTTCATTCCCCCCAATTCATGGTATCGCAGCCATGTATCGGCAGGCGAGTCTAGTCGACCAAACACCCACTCAGATATGGGTTTCCTTACCTACTTCAGATTCATTTCTAGATGTTATACATATTCTCTAGAACGAGTCCAGAGCAGCAGTTCGTTGACGTACTCAAGCAACATAAAGTATGTATATTCGCAATAACACATCGAAATCATTAACGCGCCGCTTTCTTCGCGCAAGGAGCTTGCGGCAGTTGACCTCAAGGGCCTAGACAAGCAAGACGTGATTGTACTTGTTCAAATGACGTATGCGTTTTGCTCCTTGCATTGCTCGCTCATGATAACTTTGATATAGCGGGATCCTCCATGGGGAAGGGGAGCATCGCATTTGGCGTCGTATCAGGCTGTCGGCAGGTATGAAGCTCAGTGTCTTCCAGGATAAGGTCTTGTCTCCTGTCATTGGCTGGCATGATGAACCACTATTATCGATCGGCGAGCGATATTTTGAGCTTGTGGCGCAGGGTCCGCAATTTCCACTGTTACACGTTCACAGACTACCGAGATGGCTCTCTTTACGGCCCGGAGGTAGGCTAATGCACAAGACCTCGTCAATAGGTTCATGAAGCTTGTCACCCTAGGGTTCGGGGGCAATCGACTCTGTTCATATTGCGCAGGTTAGTTACAGTCGTGGTGCTTGAAGAAAGCCGGTACTGATATTCCTACAGGTTGGCTACGACTGCCTGCCTGATGACAAGTCAAGCGTCCAAAGCGTTTTGCGTGAAATATTTGGCTAAAATTCGTCGCAGATATACTCTCGCACATCTGTTCTCAAAAGAAGGCGACCAGATTGGATACCTGTATGACTTTGGAGATAAATGGCGTCATGATATCGTCGTAAGCAGACGAAGAAGCATGCTTCTGTGATCTTGTTTGACCTTGAACGTGGGTTCTTAGGTAGAGAAGATCTTCCCGCGTGAACAATCGTACGGACGTGCGGAAATACTAGAAGGCAAGGGAATGTGCCCCGGCGGTGAGCGTGCACAACTCGCGTCCTTTTCCGGCCACTGACCGTCCGGCTGCCTCTGCCAGAGAATATGGGCGGTTCTTTTCAATATTCTGATTTCCTGTCGGAGTACGACTCTATGTCCCATCATGACAAGTAAGCCATGCTATCCTGCCGAGCGCGCCCCCGTCCGACCCGCACCGTAGAGCCGAGCGCGAGCGCGAGATCCTCGCCACACACGTCCTTCGGAAAGCCGCCCTCGCTCTTCGACCCGGACACATTCGACCTCGCCGGTGCGAATGCGCGGCTCGCGGAGGCGCTCGCGACCCAGAACTCGGTGCGGTCCGGCGCGAAGAAGTACCACATGCCCTTCGCGCCGATGGACCAGTACAAGGCGATGCGCGCGCGGGACCTGGGCAAGGGCGAGCACGTCGTGCACCAGCACGAGGGGGACTACGGCGGGTTCTGGGAGGAGACGAAGACGGAGCGCAAGGACAGGAAGAGCGAGGCCGCGTGCGCGGCGTGTGGAAACCCAGACGCGAAGGCGCTCAAGGTGTGCAGCGGCTGCAAGCAGATAATGTGCGTGTCCCTCGGCCGTGCGAGCTGGCACCAACATGTGACGACCCGTTGTTTCCCACTGCCCAGGTATTGTTCTCCGCAGCACCAAAAGGTACGGTGCTTGTATATGCGGTCGTTTGATCATCTGCTGATATGCCATCCATCGCTGTCATCAGGCTCACTGGAAGACAGTTCACAAGAACCAGTGTAGCCGCGAGTTCCTGAAGTGATCATGCATTAGTAGCGCGTTAATCCCCACCGGCTCCGTTGTATTCGTCTATGTCTATAATGCGTCCGAAGGCATCGGTAGTGTCATCGAAGGAGGGAATTCTCTTTGTAAATTTATTTGTATAGTCGGCACCTTTGTATGTAGCATGTGCTGCGCTTCTCTTGTTTCTTGTCTCAATCTCTATCAATTCTGATACCAAATCTTTGACGGCACAAGTCTCAATCTCATAGGCGACGCATCAGCATCTGTATCAGTCTCTGACAGGGCAGGTACATAGCATCAGCATGGATTGGATCATTATATATGACAAGAGCTCTATGACAGCAACACTGACGACCGCGACACGCACTATAATCGTTGAAATAACGATAGGTCTGCAAAATGCGAAAGGTATTAGATCATCCTAGAATGTATGGGCGACACATTTTTCCTCGGGGAGCATGGCATGGGTAGATAAAGGGGAGAGTGGGGGCGACGACACCAGCCTCAGAACGGACCCGCCGACACGGTCTACGACGCACCCGCCATGATCGCCTGTGTTTTGAGGTTGGCCTCCGTCAAGGCTTGTTCGAACGCCTGCAGGTGCTCCTGCACCAGCTTCCGCCCGTCTATCCGCCGCGCGCCGTGCGCCCGCGGCGACGCCGCACCGTCGACGTCCAGCCCCGCCTCCCACTTCTCGATCTTCACGCGACTGCGCTCGGCGCTGTCCCACTCCGTCCGCCACCCCCCCAGCTTGTTCTTCAGCGCGCGGATCTTCCGCCCCGCCTCCGTCGTGGCGGCCGCATTCACTTGGGTGTGCTCCGAGATGACCGCGAGCGACGCAACGGCGGACGACGTGAAGGTGCGCAGGTACGAGAGCTGCGAAATCGTGTTCGCCGCGGTCGGCGGGCCGGACGGGGGTGGGGGCGGC